CGCCCACCCCCACCCACACCCACACCCCCACCCATATCCACCACACACCCACACCCACACCCCACCCACACCCATCACACACCCACCCCCACCACACAATCGCACCCACATCCACACCACACACCCACACCATACCCCCACACCCACACCCCAAAAATAATTTCATGGACAATTGAATTTTTAAATGCTCATGCTGATCGCGCTTTTATACATCAATTAATCAATAATGGTTGCGCATTTTATATATCTTTGAAAATGCTTGAGAAACAAGAATGATTGCAAGAAAAATATTCCACATTTGATTGCCATATGTGGTGAGAAAGGTTTAGAAAAGTAAAAAAAAAACTATAGAAATTTTATTTTATTTGTTGGTTTAACTAAACTTTTATCACAAAATAATTTTTATTGCTTTCCTTATTTCCAAACATCTGTTTTAAAAGAGTCACGAACTAATGTTTTTTTGAAATTTATGTATATACTTCGGTATTAGAAATCTGTTATCACATTATATATATTCGTGCTGAACGGCGCAACTATTATTTGAGATATTTACTATAATCTTTATACAATAAAGTTTGTGGTGTATTATTGCCGTCGCACAAAACCAATATTCACCGATAATGTTTAAAAACATTTATTTCTCCTGTTATTTCTCCCTATAAAATATTGAATTATTCCAAAGTGATTATTATCTTGAAAAACTTTTCTTCTTAGTAAGAATAATTTCTAAGCGATTACTTTCAAGATAGCATCACCATGTTTGTTCTTGGAAAATCTGTTATTTTTAAGACATGACCACTGAAGATAGATTAAGTATTTTTTTATAACAGTAAAGTCTAATGTGGTAGATTAAAAATTTTATAGCAAAAGGCATAGTTTCTACTGCAATTTCAGATATGACTTGATAGTTTTGACAATTGATAGATTCTTGAGTAATTTTTTCTAACTCAGACAGAAACATTGCATATCTCTATAAGTATACAATATTTTTTTGACTGAAAGTAGCTGTTACGCAAAAGACTTCTAAATAATATATCCGCATCACCTAAAACTATGTCTATAATTTGATTCTCCCGACTCTTTTTTTCACCATGACCACATGTATACTATCGTTGTCCTTCTCCTGGAAGTTTATCAGCGCAGGGGAAAAAGGAAAAAAATCCCTATTAGCATTCTATCAAAACTAATCCTGTCAAAAACATTTTTTGAGTGTAAATATTAATCTTCCTGAACATATCTAATATATATGTGATTTCGTCACATAGTGTTTGTTGTATGTGTTATCCTGATTTCATCAAGTCTTGCGAATATAAGATAAAAAAGCCACAATTTTTTATGAACGTTACTTATTCGAAACTATCAAACCATACAAATCAAATGATCTAGAATTCAAACTGTTTAAAGAAATTATATAACTTAAGAGTCTCCTCGGAACTGAGAAATTCGATATGAAGACGCTTTGAATGTCTATTATCGAAATATCGATGATTCGTAAAAACTCGGATCCTTACTTCTAAAATTGACCACGATACGTTTTTCCTTGAACATAATGACAGTTTATTGCAATCTGTGTTTCTCCGAATGTCATTAGAAAAGTTACACTTCGATCACTTAATCGAATTGAGAAATAGGCATTCCAAAACTCATTACTTAGAAAACCTTATCAATGCACGTCAACATGCTTTTCAAAAATACTACAGATTAATAATGTAATTATCCATGTAATTCATTATCTATCACCACGTGTAATCACCTGTAATGTATCGTTTCAGCTGTTCAATCAAAGCGACAGCTATTTTTTTATTCTATTGCTGTTTTAAATATCTTGAATTCGGGAAACAAAAGTCTCTCAAAAGTTCGGTTTTGAGGAGCTATTTGTAAGCAAAGAAAGCATTTCCTAAAGGATCGTAGAACAGATGATTGTTACTTGATTTTGAAATTTCATTTTTACTTTCGAACAAATATTTCTTTGTTTTCCTTTCTTGAAATCTTTTTCACAATAAATATTGAGTTTTACATGTATTCGTATCGAGAGTGAAACACGAAACAGCTTTTTTTGGAAATATGTTGACATGATTCAAGGAATCTTATAGTTATATATGTTGGCATTTCTTCTTTTTAATTTTCATTGAAAATTCGATCAGCTTTTAGAAAGTGATCTTATGAGCATTGAACAAATTTGAATCAAACAATAGCTTTTTAACTGTCACTTTATTGTGCACAAAATGAGATATAAATGAAAGTTCATTTAAATCTAATGTTTCTAACTATATTTGACATAAAAAAAACCGCTGGATTGGTAAGTTTTGTTTTAAAAATAACTCTATAAAATCTATCAATTCATAATGAATTTAATATAAATAAATGCGAAAAACATCGGATTTAAATCCGAGTGTTATGTGTACTTCAAAAAGTGAACAGGTATATTCACTTTGTTTTTTATCATCTGAGACAATATCTACCCTATTTGCTTTCTCAACTGTAGTTTTTA